CATCCTCTGTAGCCTATGCAATGCACCGCCAGTCACCAGCCTCGAGTAACGAGGATCGGGAAATCCCGGGCACTCAGCCACGCCCGGTGGGCAAAAACGGAAAAGCCCTAAACACCGAGATTCCTGAACGGGAAAAACCGAGTTTAGCCCGTGGATCCGTCAGTGACTTGAGACATGCCTACCTTAGCAATAAAGGCTGTAGCCCTACACTAGTAACATTACTCTTAGGAGTAAGTAGATAGGATCGTTTGAGGAATGACGGGGAGCAGGCCATGACGTAGATACGAGCTTCATTGGGCTAAGGATATAGGCCAAGTGGATCACTGAGGTCCTTACTGTTACTACGGCGCCGCTGTCACCTAACTTACTCCGTACACCTCCTTTGAATGGTAACACTGAATAAGCTATCCTACTGATAGGCTCAAGCTCAAGGTTAGCAACGGAATTGATATGGATATGGATATGGGTATCATTTCCCCTAATGAACAGGAACATATGGGTCCACATGGTCCCGGACAATGATTTGTCCATCCTGAATCCATACTCGAGACAAAGGTACTCACAGGTAGCTTTGACTGGTTGACCCCATCCCTTGAGTGATTTTCTGTAGAGAGAGAACCAGCTCGGTACGTCTGAGTTGGATCAAGATGAAAAATGAGAGATTATTCTCGTATAGATGCAGTACTGTTAGTTTACCCGTTGTTGATATGCTCCCGTTCGAACATACGCCAAGGTCTGCAAGGCTTATGATGCATCAGAAGCATGCAATCTGCAGCGGGCAAACCTTCCTCATAAGTATTGTCTAATTACCGAAAGTCAATTGCTGATACGGATATTAATGATAAGATTCAGCCAAGAGCATGGGCCGTCATCTTGGTTTGACCGTACCTTTGCCCACTTGCTGCCTGTATTCCTATATTAGGCAGCACTTGGATAGCCTGAGCGACCTCACAGTTCATCCTGCTCCTGCTACGAGTCGGATCTACGGAGACAACAGTCGGTAATGCTCGGCATACGATAATAGTGATTAACATGATCCAACAAATGACGATGCGACGCATCTCTTCTCCCCCGCACTAAACAAACTACGCTGGACTATCAAAGGCTAAGCGAGATCTCCATGAACACACCCCCAGTTGGTAGCTACGTAGTCAACTAGATTCTTCAGTGGTATACAATACTTGTAAAAAGATCGTCGAGTTATGACAAACAGTTGATATGGTTGGCTGGAATTGACCTTTTACCACCTTGACAGAAACTAAACCGAAGTGATGGCGGTAATATTCACATGAAAGCAGGACTGAAGATCAACAGATCAACAAACCACTGCAGATGAACTCATACAAGGTGTGGCTCTTACACATAACGCCTTACCCACTGATAAGTCGACAGCAACAATAACAATCACAATACGACAACGCCGGATTCGCCAGTCCATGCGCCTTGCAAATCCCGTAATCAACTGACTGGCGGACCAGGCTATGTACAACCTCCAAAGGAGGATCAGTATTGGAAACAAGATAACGATAGAAGTTGAAGTGCACAATCAAGGGCGGGGACGGATACGTCTCGGCATCGGTGTCGATCCAGCATGTGCCTTGAGGATGTTCTTGGATCTTATTCGCGGAGCGCTACCGCTGGTAGAGTCGGACGAGCTCCTATCGTCGGTGTTGGCGCAAGGTAGCATCTTTTTCGAAACAGGAGTACCCGTTGCGACAGCGCTGGGAGGCCTGGGGATCAATTTTCTGCGCTTCTCAACACTGTTGCTAGTGCTGAGAGTCGGGAGAAGGGACACCTTCTTGTTGCCTGTGGCCGCGACAGGACTGGAATTACTTTTTGATACTCCTAGCCGCCGGACACGCCGCGCCTTGGGAGCTGCAGTAGCAGGTGCAGTATTTGATGCAGCCACTTCTTCATCACCACTGGTCTTAGCTGTCTGGGACCGGGTGCTGCGATTACTGGCTGCCTTCTTGTTATCGGTGCCCTTCACCGTCGGATTCGAAGCGACGTCATTGCGCTTCCGCTCCCCTCCCTCATTGTTATCCTCCCCTTGGTACTGCACAAGGCGCTGCTCGTTCCATGTCACATATTTCTTGGCCACTGTGCGCTTCCGACCAGGATCTGCAGCCTTGCCATCATCGACATCGAGGCTGGCGTTCTGCGATTGTTCCGCCAAGGCCTGAAGCACGTATTTCGGCATGACCGCATCTCCTTTGTTGTGACGAGTGTTTCGACGCGTCGCCAGTGCAAGCTCCTGGGCTTCTGTGCGCTGCAGGAAGACGAACTCCGTCCCCTTTGCGCGACGAAGAGTCAGGGTACGAAGAGTGGGCGTAGTCGTCTGAGGTGGAACTTTGGCAGCACGGTTCCTCGAACTTCGACGAACCGGGCTGGCTGCTTGATTTTCGTCCTCTCGGGCATCAACGCTTTTCCGTGGTGGATCATCCCGATCAGGGTCGTCTGCAGGATCAGACGCTTTGACTGGAGATGGCTGGACTTTCGATGGCGAGGGCGAATTGGCGTCCAGCTCTTCCAGAGCCCGTCGAGCCTGTGGAGTTGGTACGTCGCTCACTTCCTGGCAGGCCTGTTCTGCGGCCACATCCTGCGCAGTCATAGCTGCGGCTTTGGCGGCGCGAGCTGCCTTGGCCTTGGACAAGAAGTTATTGAGCAACTCGGCATCCTCCCCACCCAGCGAGCTGCGTAGTGCCGAACGCACCAGAGTGGACTCTTGTTGCACACTTAGACCCTGCTCCGATGTGACTTCTGCTGTGATTGTGGAGTCTGCCCAGACTGACAGATCTTGTCGATCATCCGTCATATATGTATCCACGGCTGCATCTGGGGCAATATTGGTATGAAGACTCGCTACACTGATGTCAAGTGCGGAGTCAGGTTGAGCGACCTCGCCGGGGGCATTTATCTCGAAACCGTAGTTGTTTCCAACGCAATGATCTGCACTGACGGACTTGCCATGTAGCGTGTGGAGATTCGCTGATAAAAGAACCGAGTCCGTGGGTGTGTCTGGGGTCGAGTCAAAGGATGTGTCCGTGTCCTGTTCGGCGATTGACGTGGCCGCGTCCCGTGGCTCATCCTTGTCAGCCACAGCGTGACCTCCCTCCTCCTCTTCATCCATATCCATCGGCTCCGTTTGAAGATCAGTAAAGCCGGCATGCTTCGTGGGCAGTTTCCCTATAGTCAATCAGCACGTGTCTCGTAGTCGCTAAGCTTGGCTAAACCAAACATCAAGCGAGCATGCATACGTCTTCTCCCCGTCGCTTCAGTCTCCCATTTTGTCTCAAGGAACGAACGCCCTCGTAGAACTGTACTGTCCGATTGACTCTCAGGGCCCTCCAACCCAAAGCACCGTCGCTTGACACCGCGGACGAACCCTAGATTCCTGGACAGGTTGATTTCAGCGAAGAGATCTTCATCGACGTCCTCGTGCGATGCAGCGACGAGACGTTGTAATGCTTTCATGCTGTTAAAAGAGGTACGAAAGCGTTTCCAGACTTTGCGCGACTTCGAACGCCCAAGGAACGCGTTCGACGGTTTTCGGTCCCATAGACGAGGGGCGGCGGTGGCCTTGACGGGCGTGAAACTGAACTTTTCGTCCTGATTCTGAAGATGACTGTGAAAATTCAACCCAGCGAAAGTGCGCGCGATTGGCGCACACAGCCGCAATCGTATCAGCGATCGTACCTTCGTCTCTGGGAGTAATGGAAAGGGAAGCAAAAAGGGGCAGTGGGAATTCTTAGCGCTTCCCCGGTCAAAGCACCCATCATAATTTACAGGAATGTCAATCGGAACAAAAGAAGTAACTCACCATGCTCGCGACAAAGAGCCCGATTGAAGGGTTGGATCGTGACTGGTGGCCATGGCTGCTTGGAGCCCCGAGGAATGTTGATGCCGTGACGGAGCTCAACTGTATGTCAACGGGGAATGCAATGTAGAGGTTCAAGCTTCTAGAATACTGCAATAATAGGATACAAGCTTAATAATTGAAGCATAAATGCGACGCTGATAGAAAAGAAAACCATCTATCCTAAGCAATACAAATACGCGTCAAGGCCGATGAAAGAAATCATAATAATAAGGTAGACTAGGGACCTAACAATTAAGCCGGACGGACGTGTTGATTGGCGGTGGGTGGGCCGTTGCTGTGCCAACCACTTATCAGATATACTAAGAGATACATACGGACAACTCGCTTGGAGACGCTGGATTATCTAGGATATCTCTTTCTATCCAATACTGTGGGCGACTTGGTCATCCTGCACTTCATGTGTAGTGAAGAAGAAAAAGGTGGTCCTTTGCCTTGATACACCCAGGAAGACAATCGACAAGTCGAACAGCAGCACAGCACGCTTTCCTTCCAACACCGTGATCTTGTTGAGAAAATGGATAATCAGCACTACTGTTATGATTGAAGAGACTCTGGCCGTCGTCCCATCTACTTGACTTTGTGCTACGACGCCCTACACTCGTCGTATCCATGACAGGAAAAGGCTTGTCATTGTGCGAGATGCTCGGCTTTCAACTCCGCATGATATGACTATTTATCGCTGGAAAGAAATTAAGTCAAAGAGACATTGTTTTCGCAATGCCAGGATGAGGTATTGTATTGACCGGAAAAGACTGCCTTTATCTACTGGATCACATCTGGGTGTCAACGAGCCTTTCCGACAGCGTCAAGCCTGAGTTTGGACACGTTTTCTTGATTACACCACTGGCAAACAATAGCTTTCACCCAACGAAGGGACTACTTAGGATCTCGACGTCAACTGACGGAAGTGGGCGTAACATGGCAATAAAAGTTCCAAGAAGAGGCATAGCGAATATCATTCAATTCTAGCTTACTGGTTAGCCATTATCGCGGAGAGCAAGAAAAGACACTAGTTGGGCCATACCCCGGTAGGCATAAGTCATAAGGTCGTAAACTACTGTCTCTAAATCCCATTAAGCAAGAGACAGATAAACTGGCCCCGTAGATTCAACTGCAAACCCTAGAATACCTCCTCCTCCATGTCTCGGTCATCGAAAGGGTCACCGAACTCATCTAGGCATACTATTAGTCATAGACCTCAATGACAAGTACCAGAGGAATCATGACAGTAAGTAAGCACGCATTGGCTATTCAACCCACCCAGATTAAAGTCCTTATCAACGATATACTCCATCGCTCGCTGGTACTCCTCCTCGGCCCGTTTGTTCATCCACCGTGCCCCGGGTTGCCTATGCTGCTGCTGCTGTTGTTGCTGCTGCTGTCCAGCAACCTGTGACGAGAAATCCGAAGGTCTGTTCTCCGTAGCTTCAGAGAAGTTTTGTGTCTGCGAGCCTGGCGGGGAGAGTTCGGAAGCGCCAGCAAATCCTGGCGTGGAGTCATTGAGACTATTATTGTTCGTAGGCGTGCGGGAGCCGGCTGGCGAGTCGGTAGAAGATTCGGGGGATGAGGCCATTTGGGAGTCGCCGTCCAGATCTGAGCTTCGTTAGTAAAGCGAGTCATGCAGCTATTGAGACGTACTGGGCGCGGAGGCGTAGGGTAAAACGTGAAAGGGCTAGTGGGGAAAGCATCTGAGCATAGAACTTACCAGTCGGCATCGTAATTTATTTCCAGAAGCACGACAAACGAATATGAGCTGGCAAACAGACGGTGATCGTTGGTTATAGATGCAGATCCCGGCGGAGTCGAGACGCCTGAGCTCCGCCGCAGTTTAACTAATCAAGCAACAATGATTTTCCCGTCTTCGCTGGCTTTCCCCGCTGCTGCTCACTATTCTTTTTCGCACGCAACAACCGTCGAGACAAGACCGCTGTCAATGGACATATTGGGTTGGATTTGAATTGGCGTCTCTCTCCCCATTTTTTGCTCCCTTCTACACCACTAGACCTTGACTTGTCGCCTATATCCCTAGTGTGGTGGTCAATCCAAGTCTAACTCCATTCCCGCCGAGTGAATATGAGCGCAAAGCCTAGTGCTGACTCCCCCGATGCTTGGGAAGATGACTGGGAAAGACAGGCAGATGTATGTCTTCTAGCTCCAATAACAGGTTATCTACCTGCAGAACCATTCTACATATGTGTCCGCTCGTTAAGAACCATCTGACCGGAAAATTTCTCCTGGACAGAAATTAGCCGATGATCCAACCCCTCCTCCAGAGAAGAAGGTATCCTCGAAAGTTACGAAGGCGCAGCGCAGGGCGCAACAGGCCGAGTTCAACCGGCAGCTATGGGCCGAAGCGTGCGTGCATACACCCTCTACTATCAATCTCAATTGAAAATTTATGTGTTGACTATGTGATAGTGAATCTCCGCAAACTTTCCACTACCTAGAGGCTCGTTCCGATGTCCCTTTGAAGCAGGATTTCAAACCAACGGTGACTGTACTCAGCCGCACGCCTCAATTGATGACGCGCCAGTCATCGTCCAGCGGAGTTTCTTCAGCGACTGCGGGAATCAGTCGGCTCGGTTTGGCGACCAATGATAGCCTGGAGGATTCAGATGACGACCAGAAACGGCCAGAACCGACTCCAGAAGAACGGCATGCCATTGCTCTGAAGAATCTGGAAGAAAAACAACGGAAATATGAGGAAGTGCGAGAGAGACTATTTGGGAGTCCGTCTGCGACCACTTCGGGTGCATCATCACCGCGAAGCGCTACTCCTCCCAGACAGTTTGACGGCAGAGGGAAGGGAAAGAACCGCGGTAATGGCAGAGACAACAACAGAGACAAGAGAGACTCTTCTGCATCCTCGACGAAGTCAAAACAGCTCTTTGACCCCGGATATTCCTCCAAACCTAATTCCACCTACGTGCAGAAGAAGGAGAGACAGCAAGCTGGCGAGCGGGTATTGGATGACCAGCCACAATCTCCGCGGCAACCCATTCGCAGTCCTAGAGGCCCAGATGCCGGTGGACGAGGTGGTTTTAGAGCAGGCTACAGAGGCGCGAGGGCCACTTGATTACAACACGTCGAGACGACCGGGGCGGGGCCTTGAGTCATTCGCGCCGGGATGTGTCTTTAGTGACAGAACCACTCCTTGCTCGCTGAAGAAATCATGGCAACCCCCTTCCGGAGTTGATTGCGTTTGCGACCTGCGACGTATTGGGTCGATTTTCTGGGGGAACGTTAGTCTTATGCCAGTCACGGCATGAAGATATACTCACGGGCATATCGCTCATAACTGTCAAGATACAATTCGTCAGAGCTAGTTGTCGCCTTGACGTGCTCATTGGCCTCAATCGCATTAACCCATGCGGCCCACCGGCTTCCAGGCTCGGGGTCTGGCCAGCCACGGTACGGTTTGAGCACCCGGCTTAGTCGGAGGATCCAAGGGGCAATCTGAACATCCACAAAGGAGATGCTCGGTCCCAGGAAAAATGGACCTTCAGGATTGGCAGCCGTGATTAGCGTCTTGAGACCGTCTTGGAGCTCCTGCATATTCGCCGTCTGTTTTTGTTCCTCCTGTTCCTGGAGAACTCTATAGAAGCTGGGCACGATGTGACGATTTATCTGCGGCCATTCAGCACCTAGTCTGGAAACTAATGCCGGACCGCACGATACTTACATGGTCGGTCCAGAGCCGACAGTGAGCTCGCAACTTTGCATCGCCCGGCGGCAGAAGGGGTAGACCAACGTCCAAGTCTTCGAGCTGCAGATCCTGGTTAAGCGATGACGGCCTCCCCGTGGGAAAGGAAGTGTGGGTTGAAACCTACATATTCGAGCAGAACCGAACTCTCATACGATCCCCAATCACCGTGCCGCAACGCTGGCACCAGGCCTCTGGGGTTCACCTCCAACAGAGATTGAGGTTTTTGGTATGGATCTACTTCGATATATTGGTATGGGATACCCTTGATTTCCAAGGCTATCCAAACGCGTTGTACAAAAGGACTAGAATATGCTTTGTTTAGCTCGGACTGGACTGAAAGATTTGATGCTCAGACATACCAGAAGCAACTTCCGAACAGTTTTAATTCTGCTTCGTTGGAATGATTTATAGCGGTTAAGGCCGCTAAGCCAGTAGCTTTGGTGTGGTAGTTTTTTTGCTGGGCTTCACTTTGGGAGGACATCGTTCTAGTCTTAAAAAATTTGTTAGTCTCAAGATATACTTATGATTCGAAGCAAGTCTTTCAGTCAAGCAACCGTCTCGTGGATGTGTGTCAGTTGTAGCAGCTAGGACAAGCGGGGAAGCCGGAGGTCATTTTATGCGGCATCCAGCAGTGACGTAAATAGCGGAATCATATACACCAACACCACAGCGCAAGCTTCAAAACTAGTAAAAAGAAACAGATGGCACACTTACTGTGACTGCCTTCTTCTTCTCCTTGGCCTCTTTCAACAAATAGCGCTGAACACTATTTTTCTTGACCCGGTCGCTCTCTTCCAATGTATGCCGATGGCCTCCGCCCACGCCGTCATTTTTCCCATTCGCACCATTGCCATTGACCCGCTGGATCGTAAAGAATCTCTCACCATTCGCTCCGGGATGACCCTCAGGTAAGGTCGGATTCGGCGTGAGCACGCCAAACGGCTGACTGTCCCTCCTCTGTCCCAAAGCAGACTCATGGAACAACGAGTTCACGCTGGGCAGAAACTCTGAGGAAGGAAAGGATGCCTCGGGCCCGTTCGCGGCAAAGTCCGATACAGCGGCCACACCGTACCCGGGAAAGTATTCGGTGATCTTGATCTTGACGTCGCAGAGGTCTCGTTGTCGGGCGGTGCGTTTCCGCTTCTTCTTGTTCGGGTCGTCGGATTTAGGGGTTCCCGGTGGGCGGCCTTTGAGTCTGCAGTCCCAGTAGTGGGAGACAAAGGGTTTGCGCTTGTAGCGTTGTGTGGAGCGGTGGGAGTAGACGTTGTCGACGTGAGGGAAGTAGGTTCGGAATCTAGTTGCAGGGCAAGTGGTTAGATAAGTGCGTTTGGGATTCAATGAAAGAAGGGGACTGCGTAGAACGTACTGGTCTTCAGTCAATGTGATCGTCTCGTCCACGTTGAATAGCTTTTCCCTCCAGTATTCAAGGTCCGGAGGATCAGGGACCAGTTTCATGTCTTTCAGACAACCATCCTGTTTCGAGAGCTCCGGGGCTACAGAGTAGCCGTCGCTCTGCGGCTGTAGCTGCAAATGATGCGGAAAGGATGGCGATACCTGCAAGGCGCTGTTGCGCATGTGCGCATCATCGTCGGCGCCATTACCGTTACACGCAACGGCGGTATCCGCAAGATCTGAACGTACTTGCGACAGGACCTGCTCGTGGTGTGCGTCTTGATCGCCGTGAGCTAAACAGGATTGCATCTGCTGGCCATCCGAAAGGCTACCCGGGAATGCCTGCTCTCGGGATGTTTGCTGGTAGGTATGCAGCTTCTCGTGGAACTGCTGAGGGGATATCAGCTCGGTAGTAACCGACTCGCCAGTCCGGGCCGGCCGCATAGACGCTGGTCTATTGAGCGGATGAACCGCATTGTGATGGTGCCGTTGCTCCTGCGGATGATGGAGATGGAGGTCCGAGTGTTCAAGCGCAGACTGTAGAGGCTGAAGCGACTGCGCGTCCTGAGGATCTGCAAGCTGTTGTGTGTGTGACTGGTGATGCTGCTGTTGGGTTGCAGCTAGAGCGGACGCGTCGTCGGCGAGAGATGACAGCGACCGGGGTTGTCCATCAGAAGTATGAGAGTCGACGCGGAATCGCTGAAGATCCGGGCCGTCCATTTCTCGAGCGGAACATCAAAGCACGAAGGCGGGATCAGCGAGTCTGGATCATGTCGAGTGCTGCTTTTGGAGGAGCGGAAGGGGAATTGGTGGGGAAGTTGAAGCGGCGTGTTGATGTGGAGAGCTGGTACACTTAGTCTAGTGGGAGGGTGGTAATACAGCGGAGAATCATATTGTTGCAAAATTGCTAAAGACATCTCACAGAGGATGAATCCACATTTATACATGCCTCCCCCAAAAGCTGCGCAATGGCTTTGATTCCACTTCTCCTTTGTGGGACTCTATCGAATCTGTTGTCACGGTGAAATCAAACAGCTCGAAAAAGAAAAAGCAACTATCGGATATTGTGACATGGAAACCGACCAACAAACTAGTCAGCTCTACAATTGACAGTTCATATCAACAGGACAACTCCGCGTTATTTGTGTCATATCAAAACAGAATTCCCAGGCAATCTTTGTTTGACCTATGTCAGTCTCCTCCTGCCGCCTTGAGGTCCAGTGCTCGATTTCGCTGAATGGCGTCCAATAGCGATGCTCCTCAAGACTCGACACGTCAATATCCATTCTCGTCAACACTATACTGACGATACATGGTCAAACTCTGCTTGGCAAACGCACTCCGAGCCCGAAGCCTTTCGCCATATCGCGTAAACAGGGGCGGAACAATGCAGAAGATAGTTGCCATGGCCGCCAGCACGGTCACAGCAAGATTTGCCCCTAGAGCCGAGAACAGATGGGGCGAGACTAACGGAAAGACAGCCGATAGGATTGATCGGAGGAAGCTGAGTGCTGAGAACCCGCTCGATGCGTAGCTTAGATAGCTGTCCGTGAGATAACCCCCAAGGACATAGTCTATCTCGGTCAACGAGTATCCGACCAACAACAGCGCAATCAC